GGGGTGTGGCTTCTGTAGTACTTTAAATGCAAAGTTATAGAAGGATCATAAAACCAGAAGAGGGGAGGGTGCTAACAGCGCTGTATCCAATCTGTTATCCACTTTTATATCTTTCAGATTGATAAGCACCTGGGAGGGGAGGGCAGAAACACTATTGGTATAATGTTCATATTTATATTGGTAGGCTAACATGGGCTCAAATATAGAAACTGCCCTGGTACTTGTCAGATTTGTATACACCATGTTAGATATAAAAGTGCCATGTTAAGACTGGTTTCCCAAGATAATGGTGGGGGTGGGGTGGGGAGTTATCCCATAATGCCCAAATTGCAATGCACCTGCTATAGTGGCAGTCTTCAAGCAGCAGCTGGGTGACTATCCCATAATGCCCAAATTGGAATGCACCTGCTATAGTGAGAAGCCCTTTTGTCCTTACAGACAATATTTGGTGATCACCATCATATACACCTCAGGAGGTGGTGAGCTCCCCCTTAGTCGCAGTCTTCAAGCAGCAGCTGGGTGAGCACTTGTCAGGGATGCATTAGGCTGATCTTGCATTGAGCAGGAGGTTGGATTAGATCAGGGGTGTCAAACATGCAGCCCGGGGGCCGGATCAGGCCCCCAGAGGGCTTCCGTCAGGCCCACAGTGGAACTGGTCATCTCCTGCTTCCAGTTCTGCTGCTGCTGCTGCATCATAGCTTGCTTCGCCAGACTCTCTTAATCACTCAGAAATTTCATGTTTTAACCTGGGTCCTAGACTCAGAAATCTGAGCATGAGATTTCTGTGGTGAACGTCAATAAATCAAAAGTAGGTTTGCAGCTTACAGAGCTAATGTTTTAAGCATGTTTTTATTTTAAGTAAAAACAACAACTTTGTGTTTGTGTCCTTTATAAAGAGTATATCTCCGCTACCTGGCAATTACATTTTATGACACACATGGCCCAGCCCAACAAGGTCTCATTTATGTCAGATCCAGCCCTCATAACAAATGAGTTTGACACCCCTGGATTAGATGGCTTGAATGGCCCCTTCCAATTTGGTGATTGTGATATGCTTCCTGCAAAATCCTGTAGTTGAAGAGTTGCAACCAGTGTGGACTGGGTCACTTTTCATATGCATGTAGCTTTTACTGTAAAGAAGTTTGAAAATGTGTAGTGTGTTTCACATAGCCATCGCATAGCATTTCCCCTATGCTTAGGACAGCATCTGTTAAAAATACAGGCAAGCAGAAGTCTTGAATCACATGGTGAACCACAGAGATGTAATATGTGGCCCAAATTCTAATTGCAGACTACAGAGAAGTTAACCCCAAAGGTGCAAATAGCTGTAACTTCCCCAGTCCCTGAGTACTACTCAGGAACGCACTGGGGTGGGGTTGCACACCAGAGGAAAAAGAGGGATGAAAGGCCACAAATTGCACTGGAATGGATGCTTGCATACAGAAATGACATTGTTCGTACTGAAGGTACACAGAATAGAACCAGAAGTAAATTTAAGGTCCAGTATCTTTACTGCCTCAAGCTGTATATTTCCATGTCAAGGTGGTTTAGACTACAAATAGCTACACCATTATTTATTGTACAGTAAGACGAACATAACAATTGGTCCCACCTGCATTTATCATAGCCCACTCACATCCTGTTGTCGACTAGCACATCCGCCTGCTTCTGTGATTCCAGTGCTGTAAGATCTTGACAATCTCTTAAAATGGCTTGTTGTTGACACTTTGGCAGCACCGTCTTTTTCTTGCCAGTGCCACACAAGAGCACATGAACATGAACGTATGGAGCACCCAGGGCCAATCAATTTATTACATTAACATTATGAGAGGATGAGGACTTCAGCATTGCAAAGCCCTAAGGAAGGGTCCCTGCAAGCTTTTTTATCAGCAATTGGATTCAGCGAGAATCCCACCTTTCTCCCCCAAGGGGGGGCGCAAAGTGACTTCTGTTGTTCTCTTCTCCTCCATTTTATCCTTACAACAACTCAGTGGAGTGGTCAAGCGGAGTGTGTGTGACTGGCTTAAGGTCACCCAGCAAGGTCCCATAGCAGTGATTCGAACCCAGATCCTAGTCCAACACTCTAACCACTACACCATACCTATTTTTAATTTTACTCTCAGGTATTAATCCTAGGTACGTGCTCAGGAATTGGATGGCAGATTCGGCTATCCAGAAGGCTGAAAGGAACGATTTTTCTGAGGTAAGATGTCTTTGTTTTACATTTTATGCTCCATGGACTAAAGTTACCATAACAACCAGCTGACCAACCATTAACTGGTTGCAGTGTCATGGTGTAAGCATGTGTTGTGCTTGGTAGCTGGTATGACATTTTTGTATCCCTTTGCTTTCAGGTCCGCTTCTTGTTGCAGGTTTTACAACACCCCTTCAAGATACAGACTGTGGCAGAGAGAGCTGGTTATGCCCAACGTCCCCCTGCCTGGGCCAAAGAGATCAGAGTCAGCTGTTCATCTTGATGGTGATGATGATGAAGAGAATCTGCACCAAGATGAAGGGAAAGGCCAGCGATGAGACGAGACCAAAGCATCACCAGTGGACTTAACTCGTTTTTGGTTTTGCTCTGTTGCTATTTTTGTGTCTTTCAGTTCCCCTACTCCTCATTTCCCTTTTTGAAGCTCCTTCCTGAAATGAGCCTAGCCAACCTACATTAAAGTCACCCAACACTACCTCCCTGCTTTCTGGCTGCTTCTGAATCCTCTTGTAAAGGCAGCGGTTCTTACTCGTCACTGTTCATCATGAGCTGGAAGTATGTTCCTGGAAGCAGAGTGGAGCATTCCCCCCTCCTCTGCTTCCTCAATTTCTAGCAACCCCTGTCTTGGTTGGTTTGTCCATTTTGTCAAAGGAACTGCTTTGAAAATGTTCTCTGGATCAATGTGTTTCCTGTAAAAAGGCACTTCGAATACCTGCATCTTAGGATGTAAGAGGGGCTGTTATTTTAACAAGTGTACCAGTGAGCACCTGCTTCCTCAATTTTGAATTTTCTAGCAACCCCTCTCTTGGTTGGTCTGTCCCTTTTGTCAAAGGAACTGCTGAGAAAATGTTCTCTGGATCAATGTGCTTCCTGTAAAAAGGCACTTCGAATACTTGCGTCTTAGGATGTAAGAGAGACTGTTATTTTAACAAGTGTACCAGTGAGCAGATCAGTCATACAGGATAACTAGAACTAGGACTCAGTTAATCAGCAGTAGTTCATACAGATCAAGGCATGTGCTCAGCTAGCAGCTATAAGAAACACAATTTGTGGCAGCAACTAATACAACAAATAAGCCAGGGACCTGCAAGACTTGCAGATGAGGGAAATCCTGTGGCGGGATCCTACCCCCAGCTAGCAGCTATAAGAAACACAATTTGTGGCAGCAACTAATACAACAAATAAGCCAGGGACCTGCAAGACTTGCAGATGAGGGAAATCCTGTGGCGGGATCCTACCCCCTATCAGTCCACTGCTCAAAGTTTGAAGCTTGAGCAGCTGTTCCATAGGCAGAGTGGTGGGATCCCCTCCCATACGTACTGGCCCCCATTTTCTTCTCCCCATCCTGTTTTCAACCTTCTTTTCCCCAGCCCTTTCTCTGCCCCACCCCATTCTCCACTTGGTTTTCCAGCCCTGTTCCATACAATATCACCTGTCCCGCTTGCTATTTTCTCTCCCACATTTCCAGCTCCCCCCAAACCTACAAACGTGTGTGGGGTGTGTGGAATCTTAGCATTCTCCCTGTGTGGGAATTAGTCCCTTTTAAAGTTTTGGAATCCTTCCCCACAGGGTGCAGAAAGCCCCCTTGTGTGACCCCATTGTGTGGCCTGAGGGAAGCAATGTTCAGAATCAGATATTAAGATATGAGCAATGCTGCCCCCGAGGTATCCTCAGGTCCCCCCACTGAGAGCTCTGTAGTTTCCCCTCCAAGATCCTTCTGGCCTTCAGATGCCAGAGGAGTGGGAAATACATTCAGTTTGATATTAAAACAGGGTGTTGCAATTAAGGCAGGAATTCCTGTTGGTGCTGTCAAAAAGGGGGGTAGCCTCACTGCCTGAACACTCCAAAAGAACATTAATCAAGATACTTTTGTTTGACCCTTCAGAGTTCCACACACCCTTGTTTGCAGGACAATAACCAAAGGCTCTCAAGCTTTCCCAGGCAGTGCAGTCTTTCTTGGTGATTCAGTCCCAGGAAGAGCTATGAACTCTCTGGCCACTGTTGACAAGTATGAGTGAAATCTGCCACCCATTCTAATGCAATACATACCACTTCACCCATCCCCCCCCCCCCTTACTTCACATATTTTTCGGGTGCCCCGTTTACCATTAAAGGTTTGAACTATCCTATTCCAGACCAATGATGACTTGGACCTTAAAGTTGCACCACCTGGGGTCAATGCTCCCCCTAAACTGTGGAGTCTTACGAGCAAAAATTGTACTTTGTGAGCTACTGGCATTAAAGTTGTGAGCGAGCGATTGGCTACTGCATAAATTAGTTTGCTCTGGAGCTATCCTTCCCGAGCTAAGACAAAAATGTGGGAGCCGGAGGCTAAAACACTCCCTGGGGTGCAACTCAGATCCCACCAACAGAAGGCCAAAGTCTTGCACCTTTGGTTCAATACCACTGCACATCCTAGTTCTGCATAAATCTGACCAACAGTGGGGTTCCCCCATACAAGCCCAGGTAATTCTAGGGGTATATCATAGGTGTTTCTAGCCTTTCCATGTTTGTAGGTGGTTTTGCCTTGTAACCTTCCACTGCTGCTATCATGGGTCCCATCCTCTTCAAGACAGGCAGAGTAGGCTTTTCTTTCCTTTATTTCACTCTCCATCCCAAACGTCGCCGTTTATGTCTTTCTGCCCACTCACTATTCCTGAGATCATCTACCTCCTGTTCTTGATCTGTCTGCCCTACAGCCAGCTGGTCTCTCCCCACTGACTCCCCCTCCTCAGTCAGGAACTTTCTAACAGAAAATCTTTTCATGTTTGTCCCATTAAACGAAACACTCTGAAGACGCAGAAGAAGATTTTATTTAGGAGCTGGCAGTGAGTGCTGTCAAAACAAATGGGAAACTTAAGGTGAACCATAAGTGACAGAAGGATGGCAAGGGGGAAATTTGCAAAAAATATTCAGGTAACTAGAGGATCTTTGAGACAAATATCTATAGGTGCTCCTTAAAAACAGTTGCTAACCTTGCAACAGATGGGAGGCATAAATGTTCTTTCTGTTTCCAGTAGGTTCACAGTGCCAGTCCCTCCTAAGCCCTTTGGTCAGTGGGTTTAGAAGGGTGTAATTCTGCCTAGGATGGCACTGTTAGGCAGACATCTACAATCTGTAGTTACCTCTGAAAATAACATAAATAAATAGGAATTGCTGCCTTCATAACCATTGGGAAAACATAACTGTTGCATATTTTAGACAAGATAGTACATGTATATTTTACACTTTTAAATCCCCAAATACTATTTATTTTCTAAAGAGAAAAAAGCAGAATTTAATGCTGCTACTTGTACCAGCCATTAAAAAAAGCATTGAGAGATTTTGCTGTCAGGTTTAGGGCCAGGTTGTCTGTATGGGAGGGAGAGGTACCCTGGGAACAATGCTCCCTCTAAACTGTGGGGTCTTGTGAGCAAAAATTCTACTTTGTGAGCTACTGGCATTAAGAAGGAGAAGAAGAGATTGGATTTATATCCCACCCTTCACTCAGAGCCTCAGAGCAACTTACAAACTCCTTTCCCTTCCCCTCCCCACAACAGACACCCTGTGAGGCAGGTGGGGCTGAGAGAGCTCTGACAGGAACTGCTCTTTTCAAGAACACCTCTGATAGAACTATGGCTTGCCCAGGGTCATCCAGCAGCTGCGAGTGGGGAATCAAACCTGGTTCTCCCAGATTAGAGCCCACACACTTAACCACTACACCAAAGTTGTGAGCAAGCGATTCGGCGACTGCATAAATTAGTTTGCCCTGGAGCCATCTTTCCTCAGCTAAGACAAAAATGTGTGAGCTGGAGGCTAAAATAACCTGTGAACTAGCTCACACTAACTCAGCTTGGAGGGAACAGTGCCTGGGAAAGAAGTCCTCAGTGCAGGAAGCAGGATTATCTCAGAGCTCTGCAGCAAGGCTTGTGGGGCATTTTCCTACTTTCTGCTGAGAGCAAGCTGAGTGGCCGGGGGAGATCATGAACAGCTGCAGAACTGTGCCAGATGTGGTAAGTGTCAGCTTTTGCTCCCTGCCATGTGCCCATTTGCTCTCCTGGCCAAGTGGCTAGCAGCAGCAGCAGCAAGTAATTCCTCCCTTTCCCGACCATGGCAGGTTAACTCACTCAGTAGTAGGTGGCTGGCAGAAAAGACAAGAGGCCGATGCTTGGCCCAGCCTGCCCTCTCACTCCAGACGCAGTGGGGGCGGGGGAGGGAGACAGAACAGGCCACGTGAGGCAAACGGGTGGGTCTGATCCGTCAAGGGGCCTTTTCCTTGCTGCTACTCCACTGGAGTCCTCCTGGGACAAAGGGCCTTCGGCAGCTGCCTGAGTATACCAAGCTGATGCTAGACCTGACCTCTCATTTCAGAGAGAGAGAACAGCTGAAACTTTCAAAAAGCAGGGCTTGTTTCTGCAGACTGCTTTGCTCGTCCACCAACCAGGCAGGCCTTCTGCAGGGCTAGGATATGGCATTACTAGGGAAAGCGGGGAAGGAAGCTTCTGCCTGCAATAAATTAGATAGCCTTCCCGCTGCATCTCTTTGGCAATTTTTGTCGCTACTGTCTACCAGGATGACTGTTCTGGAATCTGCGTGTTCTCTGGCTGCTTTTTTGTGCTTCAAGTTGTGTGTTACTGTATTGAACAAGGAGGGAAACTGCTGTCAAAACAAGTCTTCAGGGTAGGGATACAGATTGCTTCAGGATGTGCTGGAATGATTGACTCTGTCTATACTCCTTTGGACCTCCAGGAAGTCCTCTGGTCTCTTTCCTCCAGACCACTCACTCCAAGAGCTGTCTCTCAACTAAAACCGTGCCCCAGTATTTAGACCTGTTTGCTTCACGAGGTCTCGCCCCTCTTTTTTTGCAACACTTTCATTAAGTCGGACATGAGATCCCCTTGTCCAGTTGAATCCCAAGTGGGTTGTGGCTCACTTGGTTTGGCTTCTTCTGCCTGGCCTCTGCTGCCTTCTTGTCTTTTAGGAGGGGGAGGGGGAGGAACAATCTTCTTTCGGACCGGAGGGGGGAGGGCGGGGGCAGAGACTGAGGGGGGAGGAGGGAGAGGTAGTTCTGGGTTACCATTAGCAGAAGAAGGGGGTGGCGGGGGCACAAAATCAGGAGGAGCTTCGTAGAAGTCAGGAGGGGGCGGTGGCAAGTCCACCAATTCAGGGGGTGGAGGTATCAGTTCAGGGGGTGGTGGAAATTCTGCTGGGTCTGTTGTGAAAGCCATGCTCGCTCGCTCTGTCCTTGCAGGCATCAACAATGAAGTCGTAATGGCAGAAGACCGTCTTTCAGGAGGGCGGGGCGGCTGCATCCCTGCAGGTTTACGATGGTGCTTCAGTTGTGGTGTCGTAGGCAGGGGCACTGGAGCGGAGTTGCTGATGCTGTCTGATTTATTGGCCTGTTGACAAAAGAAACAAACTCACGTGCATGGAAAGAACTTGATATAAAAAGCAGGACTGACGGGTTCCTGAGTATAGAAATTCATTGGAGGAATACGTATCTATTAAGTTCTGTTTCCACATTCTGAGATTAAACTCAAGAGTCAGTAAAAATAGATGTATTCAAAACTGACCACAGGGCAGTCTGTTGAAGCCAAATACTTAAAGGGCTTCTCTCATGAGCTCACTAATGTCCATTTTACACACCTGAACCTGCCTTATACTGAATCAGACCATTGGTCTATCAAGGTCAGGGGTATCTGTTTAGACTGGCAGCAACTCTCCAGGGTCTCAGGTGGAGGTCTTTCACATCACCTTCTACCTGAGCCTTTTAGCTGGAGATGCTGGGATTGAACGTAGGACATTCTGCGTGCCAAGCAGATGCTCTGCCACTGAGCCACAGCCCTTAATTTTGTCCTGTGGATACTTCCACACACTGCCAATTCTCCATGTAGTTTCATCGCCACTACAAATGCACGTTCCCATCCACCCTCTGTCCAAAAGGTACTTTGATCTTTCCAAAAAGAACTACCAAGCAGGTTTGGGAAAGATTGCAGCAAAGCACAGGAAAAACACAGAAACATGACAAACACATGAGGATGGCCGTGCAAGCAGCCCTGTAGGAAGAGCTTCCCTCCCCCTTAACTTGCATTGTGCCACGCCACGAAACAAGTCTGTGGCCAAGACAAAGTCCATTGTTTTGGACCAAAGAGAATGAATGATGCAGAAGGTGGGATCTCTCAGAGAGGCGGCTGGTCTCCTCTCTGTTTCTCATCATTAATACTAGAAAAGTCTGTACGTATGCATGCAACAGGTATCTTCTCATACAGCAGGGGCAAGAGACCTTTTTCGGCTTCTTGTTTTGAATTGGTGGCTGGTTTAAAATGGAATAAACAGGGTAACACAGAAATGGTCCGATGAAGATCTACTCAAAACAGAGAGTTTGGCTGGCAAGGGACGGTCTGATGAAGATCTACTCAAAAACAGAGAGTTTGGCTGGCAAGGGACGGTTTGTCATGTGTATTAACTCCTTTTTGATGTATATTTCTACATGTATCTTTCTGCGGTCTTACGCACTTGTTACTGGTAAACTGACTATGCTTGTCGCTTTTTTCGTACTGTAGGTTCAGTTATGTTTTCAATTTGTAGTTTACAACGCACCCCGATTTCTGACATACCATCTGGTGTACTTTAGTGTCGTGCTGCTTGTCGGGGGCATTTGCCACTTTTACACCAGGCTCGTAACGAATCGCAAGGCTTTTTTGTGGAGCCATCTGAAAGGCATTCTGTTCTCTGTGCTCTTCGGATGGTGGCAGATGGAAATGGAAAAACAAGAGCACTACAGAGCCTGAACACAGAGCAGCTGATAACTAATGTATTTGTATAGCCTGTGTCTATGTAGGGTGCCATTTGTCTTGCCTGCCCTTTCCTATGGCCAGGACCCAGCCGGTGCAGTGCATTCCTCTGCCTCTTGCACTAAGTCACGGCCACTTTCTCCCCCCACATTCTTTTGCACCTGAAGACTGGAACCTGTTAACCTCTGGCATTACAGTGTACACAGAAACAACACAGAGATGAAACGCTGGATCTCTTCCAAAGCATCCGTCACATCAGTTGTAGGAAAAAGAAACTCAGACTAGCAGTTCATTAGATCCATGTTTGCTGTGCTCCATTCAGCCTTCTCTTGACTTGACTTTGTTTTCAAGATGAAGAGAGAGAGAGTCCCAGCTGGCAGCCTAACAAATATGCTTTCCTTTCACTTGTTGGTGGGCAGCTGGTGGCTGCTAAAAGTTGCTAAAGGCAACTGTAAATGTTGGGTCTCTTGTTACTGTGAATTCTAACCGGGTCTTTCTCATGCTGTCTAAAAGGCTATGTGCTATTATATAGACTTATTTGAATAAACAGAAGTATGTAAGCACTGAGCAATACATAAAAAATTGGATTTCTGTGCAGTGCTTGCATGCAATGGTCCCTCTAAGCTGTGGAGTCTTGTGAGCAAAAATTCTACTTTGTGAGCTCCTGGCATTAAAGTTGTGAGCAGGCGATGTGGCTGCTGCATATATTAGTTTGCTCTGGAGCCATCCTTCCTGAGCTAAGATGAAAATGTGTGAGCCGGAGGCTAAAAAACTGTGAGCTAGCCCACACTAACTTGTCTTAGAGGGAGCACTGCTTACATGTATGTCCGGACAAGGATGGCCCAGGCGTGCCCAATCTTGTCAGATCTCAGAAGCTGAAGTGGAGTTGGGCCTGGTCAGTACTTGGAGGGGAGCCCACCGGGGAGGTTCAGGGTTGCTGTGCAGAGGTAGGCAATGGCAGAACCGCCTCTGTCTCTTGCCTTAAAAACCTTATGGAGTTGCCTTAAGTTGGCTGTGACTTGGTGGCATTTTCCACCACTACCTGCCGACACACACAGCCTCAGCTTCTTTTTGTTCTTACGCAAACACTCTAACCATGAAAAGCTTCAGTAACCCATTCACAGTTAACAGAAACATATACTGTGGATGAATCTCATAGCTGACCTGCATCCCTAATAGATTGGGACACTTCCAGAAGACACGTTATGTTGGCTCCAAAGACTCCACTCTGCTGAGAGAGGCACTTTTCTTCACTGGATCTCAACAGACCTCACTTGGTAGAGAAAAGTCATTGGATATGAGCCTGTATAATTATACTTTTAGAAAACTTTTCACCAAATCACTGAAGTAAAAGCTTACTATTCTTATGACAACAGATTTTTAAAGAACAGAGAGAAGGAAGTAGGCTAAATGCAAAACATTGGCATGTAAGGGGGAAAACCCACAAAAATTCATGAAGAATAGGACTATCAGTAGCTATTAGCAATTTTGGCTAAGTGTAGCCTCCAAGATCAGGGGCATATTGTCTCTGAAAAGTATTATTTATTTGGAAATTGTATGCAATACCTCTCTCCATAGGCTTGCTTGAAGCAGCTCAAAAGCAATAGCCTAAAAAACCATCCACAACAAACCATCCAGATAGCGAAAATACAGTACACCGTGGTTGGCCAATGCAGAAACTGAGTTTCATCCCTTGGCCTGACACTGACAGGCAGTTCTTATGTTTAATTTGTACCTTTGGCACGTCAGTAGGTTTTCCAGTCTGTGAAGAATCAGCAGTTGTGATGGCTGTGGCTTGGGGTATCTGTCCATTTGCACGAGTCCTACCTATGATACGAAAAAAGGAGAAAAACAGGTAAGCTAAATTTCAGTTTACTGACAACAACTACAACAGGAAAATATCCTCATTTTGGAAATGTGATGCCAATGGACAAAATCACATCAACCGGATATACTGATCACCCTAGGATACTATGGTAACCTTTGAAAAGTTGTATGGGGCTCTTACGCCTTTGTACAATGAGCTACACTTCCGGCCAACTGAATAAGGGAAATTGGACCAGATGAACATTTCATGATTTTAGCCAGAAAAAACTTAAAATCAGTCATTTGGCTTCCCAGTTTAGTCTGAGCTAGTCTGAAATGGAATCTTTCAGACTTCACATCATTTTCTGTATGGCACATTTTAGGCTTATTTTGACGGCAAGGGTTAATGTTTCATTAAGTGCATCCAGACCTTCCCACAATCAGACGAATCTTTTATGATGTCTCTTCTAGATATAATCCCTGGAGCCCCCCCTTCAACTTTTTCCTGTAAACTGATTTTGTACTGACACCTTTATAGTATCTTCTGATAATTGCCTGGGTTGGTGGTGGTACATGACCTTAAAGATCCCCAACTTGTTCATGATTCTGTCTCAAGTTCATTGTGGACAGTCTGCATCAACAGTATGACTGGATGCATGTCATTGACATGAAGTTAAATGTTGTTTGGGATGGAGAATCAAAAACAATTCAACTATCCCAATGACGGGAAGTGTGTATCCAGGAAGGCACTGGACAACTAGTTAAGCTTGCTTCAGGCTTGTGTTTTTGAACATCAGCACTTCATACACATGCTACAAGCCCTTTCTGAAACCAAAGAGCCTATCGAAAGCAGTGGCAAAGAAAACCAATTATACCACTAGAAATGGAGAAAGGCTTGGGACAGTCACAGGAAGCTCTTTGAAGCCTGGTCAAGGGGACAGGGATCAGTGCTAGGATAAAGAGGGGTCAACTGAAATAAAATTAAACATAAAGAAGAACAATCCTTCTGATTCCACACAAGCGACTCTATCACCTACTCAGTATATGTCTAATTTAACAGGCCCTGGTACCTTTTGGAGATGATCCGGCAGCAATTGTGGGTTCAGCATTCCCCAGCTTTCCCCATCGAGATGCTAAGCCAGCTCTCTGCAGTGCACATTTGTAGTTATCATACAGTGTCTTGCCATACTGGGAAAACAAACAGGGACTTTCTCTTGAATCCAGAAAATGTCAGGAACTAATAATCAATGTACAGTGCCCTATCTGCCTCCAGATACAGGGAAAACTAGAAAACATTGGTGCTATATACCTGTATGCTCAAGAATTTATTTAAACCCATGTGGACTGGGTCTACAACTGATGTGGAGAGCTTTTTTCATCTGTGCATTTCAGCATTAGACTTGCAAACAGTTCCACTGTGGACATGATAGAGATGTAGAATTTAAACCAACGTAAGCCTACTTGAATCCACATTCAACTACTCTGGGCAAATCAGCCTTGTATGTAGTCGGACCCTTTATTATGCAACAAAACATTAAGGGTGCTTTCCCCAAAACTCAGCAAGCCAAGTTAATTCAAAAATCCAGCAGATTTTCTCCACCAGCCTCTTCCTCTGATTGTGTGAGGTGATGGGGGAGAAGAGGGTTGCTTACAGGAAGGGGCCAGGCCAGAAGCTTTAGAAAGTCAGAACCCAGCAGCAGAGACAGTTGCCCTTTAAGTGAATTCAATCACAGTGAATCCCACCGCATTGCAAAATAACTGGCAGGATGAAGGACATTTGCTCTTTCAGCAACAGAAGGCTTTACTAGAATGCACCCACACAGCTGTTAATAAATTGAGAACTCTGAAACAGGTAGTGAGTGAGTTTAGCAGAATTCTTTAAAATTTCTTTTTCAGCTGTTTGGTTTCCATTTCTCATTTTCTTGTGTGGAGAGGGACCCCATAGTTACAGTCTGCTCAGAATCCATGATGTGACACTTGCAAAAAAAAAAAAAGCTTGGAGAGGTTGCCCGTACTTGTGGAACAACCCCCCAGGATTGATCAGGCAGGACCTCCACCCTCCTGGGCTTTCTGGAGAAGTTATAGAACAGAATTATTCCAGAGAGCTTTTGGTGCAGCCTCAGTCTAGGCAAAGGGCGCAAGGCATTTTTAGATTGGTGTTCTAATAATAATAATAATACTTTCAATTTATTAATCGCTTTTTTCCCACTCATGCGGGCTCAGAGCGATTTACAGTTACTCAAAGACAATGGACTAACAATATATTTGTGGGGGATAGGGAAGACAACATACAATATTTAATCACACACACATTGTAGCTGGTCGGAGGATCATCTGCATTTAATGTAATGTATATAATATTTGTTGTTTTAATGCTTGATTTACACACACACACACATTTGTTGTACCACACCTTGGGTCCTGAGTTGCTCAGCAAAAAGGCAGGCCTATAAGTGCCTCAGTTCAGAGCTGTAGTCACTCCCAAGACCCAACTAGTTTCAAAGAACATAAATTGTCGAAGGGAGATAATAGATTATGGGATCCTGTGTTCTGATCCATGTAATGTTCCTGAATGTAGGTCTTCGTGCTAACATAAACAGGAACTCCAAAGATCTCTAGTACAGCATCTCTTTCAACCACTGCTTGAGATTGGAGAACTAATGTTAAGTGTGGGTTGTTTTCACCAGCGTCCTTGGCTGTAGCTCTCCATTGGAGCTCCGCTGTTTCTTAGACTTCTCAATTCCACTCCCTTTTCATTCCCTTCTCAAGAGATACATCATCATCTCCCCTTCCTCACCTTGGCAATTCTTATACCAGTTACCCACTGATGCAGGGTCTGCTTGTCATCACAGCACAAGTATTTGATATACTGCGATTCTTTCTGTATCTGAGGGTGCTGCCGAGAAAAAAAAGATTTTTTTTTAACCATTAAAAATGTGTTAGAACGAAATAGGAGGAAAGAACCAACAGCTTTAAAAATTAGTGGGAAACTCATTAGACATGCATTTGCAAACAACTCATAAAATGCCACACACCAAAACATTACTGTCTAAACATTTGCAGTGCAAATGTTACACTTTAAAAAGAGAGAGACATCTGGCAAGCAATGTTCCTTCTTAAGTTGTGGAGTCCTGTGAGCGAAAATTCTACTCTGTGAGGTACTGGCACTAAAGTTGTGAGCGAGCGATTTGGCTACTGCATAAATTAGTTTGCTCTGGAGCCATTCTCCCTGAGCTAAAGACAAAAGTGTGTGAGCTGGAGGCTAAAAAACTGAGCTAGCTCACACGAACTCAGCTTAGAGGGAACACTGCTGGCAAGTAAAAACTGGCTTGGGGAGTCAATCTGGGGCATGCTGCAGTTCCAAGGGTGAGCATTCAGTGTGTAAACAAAGGTGCCTATTGCGGTTTGTCATCTGGCACTCATCCAAAGTGGATGCTGAAGGTATCTTTAGTTTCCAAGAATCAAGCTATGTTTTTGAGAAGCACACACCATTA